AAACCAAATCCTACAAACCAAACAGAGGAATGGATTTCAAATCCAATCCAATCCAAATCCCTCAAGGGAATCCAAATCCCTCAAAAACATTCCCGCAAACCAAACGCACCCTTATTGTGATTCTAAGTCTTTTTTTTAAATAAAATAAACCTTTTATTAGAAAATATTTTATAAATCCGATCACAACTCAAATTCCGTTCCATTCTATGACTTGGGAACAAAGCATTAGTGGTTTATCATCATTTTCATAAATATTTGTATAGATTTGAAGCCGTATAGCGTCTAAAAGATACTTTTTGTTTATTCCCGTAATAAATGTTTTGAAAATAATGAAACGATTCACACAAAAAAATCTTGTTCGGTGAAGGAAAAGACTCTTACCCGACTAGCGCTTACAAAATAAAAAACGCTTACTAGAGGATTTTTATTCCTCCTTGGATTTGAACCTAGGATCTCCTGGTACTTTTGACCTTTGGAGACAAGCTCGAACCAATCAGGTACCACCCTTGTGGATAGAGTCCACTATTATACTTGACATGACCAGTAAAGTAATAATTCATCACAAGAAACTTCAATCAGATACCAAAGAATTATGGGAAAGAAAAACCAACACTTGCTAGAGTAGACTCCTACAAACAAAAAGTTCAATTGATAAAAATGGCATCACTTCCTAAGGAACTGAAAGACACCCTCTTCTTCTTATCTGACCCAAACTTGAACTTAAGATCCGACTCACCGTCATCAATAGGAGCAGCATTGCTCGTAGAAGGGAAACTGAAAACAACCCGCTCACTGTTAGACTTCTTCGTACCAAAACTGTAAGTCGGTAATTCCTTTGACTGAGTTGCTGGAAAAGATGGCATAATGGATGGTGTAGGTGGCTCAGCCGCTGAGCTGGAAGTGACGGAGAATGGGAAGGTAAATCCACGGCCATTATCGGCTGATATAACCTGTTGTGGGTCTGGCCTCTTGAAGGAAATAGGCTTCAGGATTGGTTGAGAGGGCCTCTTCCTAGCAGTGTCCACACCATTCATTTGGTTGTCGACTGACCATGGCTGACTTTTCTCTTTTTCCTTGTCGTTCGTGACTGTAGAGTTCTGTTTTGAACCAAAAAGTATTAGAACAAGTTCTACTACAAACAACAAACTGCAAATTCCTAAATGTAAACAAAGAATTTTTCTTTTTGATTCAAATGTAACCAAGTTTCAAATTTTCCAATTTAAAGTAAAAAGTTTCAAAGCTTCCTATCTTTTACCTATTTTGACCAATGACCTACTGATTTTGCAACACTTGTGTGACGTGGATGTCAAGTTCTACTATAAACAACTACTCGAGTGTGTGATGGTGTAAAGAGGTCAAGCTAGGAAAAAGGTTCAACTACTAATCAAAAGCATAAAATAACCTTCAACAATGACAAGCTACCAATACCGTCTACTCATCTATACTACGTAATGACAACGTGCAAATGGCTATTCTTAGATTGAAATTTTGCCCAAAATAAGAATAGCAACACCACAAAATAGAAATTGTTACAATTTTCATGAGACGAGGGGGTACAGATTTTGCTTACGCAAGAAAGAGACCCTTCCACATTGTCCTGAACTCAAGTTGCACTCACAGTTCTTTTCTGGTTGATCCTAAGGCTATAAGTGCCTTCGGTGGATTAAGGTCAAGCAACGATATATAAGTAATATTGAACCAAAAGATGTTCAACTGAAATACCCTCTCAACTACTTCGTGCAAAAACTGTGTTGCTTGAAAAATTAGAATTCTATAGTTTATTTTGCAACACATGTATGATGTATGTAATTTGATTTCAGATTGTGCAAGAACCTCCTCCTATTTGTTATCAAAGGAAAGCGGTGATTGATAGAATCAAATGGAGAACATAATTGTGATCGCAGGATTTTATATTGGTCAGATACTCCCTTCATGACAACAAGCTCATACACCCAAAAGAAGGCCTATGAATTCCATCACCTTTTTAACCATCAATTTTTGGTAATTGCATTTGTCATATAGTTTAATTTAGTGATCATTCTTTTATCCAATATTGAACACCCTGCTGATTTAGAAGTTGAAAAGTAGATCATCAAAATGTTTATCTGATCTTGAGGATAAAATAGGTTTGATGTTTTCAGAACTTCAAAAGTTATTCAAAATTACCTGGTCCTGTTGTTTTGTCAACAGTAGTTAGTGTGGAAAAAGAAAAGAGAGGAGAACTAGAGTGTAATTGAAGAATGAGCTGCAGATAAGAAAATCAAGGGAGCTTAGAGGAGTCACCGAGGTGAAGCTTTGGTAATATTCTTGCTTCTTAAGGTCAATAATATTAATTCCAAATCTGATCAAATTGATTTTAAATTCTTCGAAACCGTCCAAAAGTTTTCTAGAACTTTAATGTTTACTGTTTTTCCAAAATTACTTTCTGTGTACATATATTCAGATCTCGGAGAACTGTGTTTTGTTAAAGTAATGTGGTTTCAAGTGCTTTACACTGAATTTGTAAATTTTGCATTTTGTTACCACTGGTTGACAAAAGTGACCTTTTTGCTTGGTAGAATTCTGATTTTCTATCTGATCTGGTTTCAACATCACTATGTACAATGCATATTCGCTTTGTAATTAACAGATTTGTTTATCATGCTATACCTTTTTCAGCATCTCGTTTTCCTTTCAAATTTGCAAGCTTCTGCATGGCGAAGCTATTATTGTGTTTAACGTTCACATGCCTGTACCCTTCCTGGATATTAGACCAGATGGCAGTATACTGAGTTAGCCACATGTGGAATGTCATTGCCAGTACCATGTAGGTGTGATATCCTATCATTTAAAGTAATTAATCATTTTGACCGACTGTTTTTACGTGTCTCCCAATTGTTTAATTTTGTGCCAAGTTGACGAGCTTTATGATTTGTGATATGTGATACCATATGAATATTTTTTAGGATATGCCCTAGTATTTTGCTTTGTTTTGTTTTGTTCTGTGGTTGCAGTTATAGAGCCATAGACACCTTCTATTTTGGATACACCATCCAATGTATTGTCTTTATAAGATATACTCTTAGGGGGTGTTTGGTTCATGGAATTTGGTGGAATTGGAATGTACAAATCTTTGACCAAATTCCAAATCCCATGTTTGGTTCACATAAATTCCAACTCCCATGTTTGGTTCACATAATAGATGTGAAGGAATCATTCCAATTCCTTAATTCATTGATTTCACAATTCCACCGCATATACCACGGATTTCAAATTCCAATCCGACAAATTCCTTTGCCCTCATCCATTCATCGACGTTGTATCTTGATTTGCTCTATTCTGCTATGCTCGATCTCCTTTGCTCAATCTCGTTTAAAACTAAGAATGACAACAGGCCAGGTCGGTCATTGGTATCCCCGTTCCAGAAACCGATAACTAAAACCGTTCTCATGACCGCCCTGATCCCCGTCGGGGATCTTATCGGGTCCCGCGGTTTCCCCGATCCCCGTTGGGGAATTCTTGAAGGTAAAAATCCTCTTTTTCCTGTTCACCGTTGGTTGTAACCGAACCCGAAACAGATCTAAAAATCCCCGTTAAAATCCCCGAATTTAATATTATATATATATGTATATAAATTAAAATTAATATATATACACATATCAAGCCGGGCCGGGCCGATGATCACCGTCCCCGCCACCGTCCCTGTCCCCGTCACCGTCACCGTCCCCGTCCCCGTTAAAATCCCCGAATTTGTCCCCGATCCCCACCTTGTCCCCGATCCCCGCCTCGTCCCCGAACCCAGCCTAAAAGTTTCGGTTTCAGTTTTTTTTGCCTGTAATTTTTTCGTTGAATTCCGTGAACGAAACAAAAAAATTCCAATTCGGTTAAGAATTTCATTCCAATTCCATCCAACCAAACGCAATCAAAAGACATGGTCAAATTCCATTCCATTCCCTCAAAATCAAATTCATTTGATGAATTCCAATTCCACTGAATTCCATTCTACGAACCAAACGCCCCCTTAGAATTTGGTTCTATAAGACACTCAATATAAATTTACCTATCCCCTCATTGCTTCAACATTATATATTCTTTGGTGACTCTGGAGTTTGGTTGTGTTTTCACTTGGGAGAAACTTCAACATGTTTTCTTTTAACTTATATGAAATGCAGAAATGGCATTTTAAAATGTTATGCCCTTGATCATTTTGTACTCCACGTCCGTACTAAGCAATGGCTCACAATACCTTTCTTCTGAGCCCTGAGAGATAATTGGGATGATTTGAAAGCGTACAAGAGAGTTATGTGACCTTGGGAGACAGTACTTGGTAGTATTACTGAATTTAAGATGTAATTCATTGTCATTTGTTCAAGGTTTGATTTAACTTTTAGAAGTTGGATATATTTGAGATTATGTACTTACAGTTTATGGCTTCGAATTTACTTTAAGCAGCCTGTGGACATTTCCGTTGGAGATATGATAGTGTTGATTCAGTTGTTTGATAGTGTGTGACCTCAATTTCAAATTGCGGGAAGGGTGTTACACTTTATGGACTCTTCTCTGGAAAGGGGGGACATTTTGATGATTAAAATTGTGAAATGTATGATGGATTAGACACTGAAGAGATATGAAGAAAGCAACAATACCTGATCTGCACCACCCATATTTTTGAAACCAAATGAAGGCCCTGTACCAGCAACATCAACTGTGCTAGATGTTTTGGTTGCTGCATTTGAAGTTTTCGTAGGATCTGGCATTCCTTTGAAACTCACTCCACCATTGGTTCCATTGAGAGAAGTTCTATTGTCACTTGAAACACCACTTCTCTGCAGATCAGGCTCTGTAAGAGTTGCTACGATGGTACTTTCCTTGGGCATCAAAGTAAGATCTTGAGAAGGTGATCTTTTCCATTCAGTTGCTAGCTTCAGTTCAGCTGCCTTCTCTTTAGGGGTAGGCTTGTGTCTGTCGAGCTGCTCTAATATTTTTCTAACCGTCTCATTAGATGGTCCGGCAGGAGTTGCCTCCCCTTTAAAAGTGTCAACTGTATTGACGTTTGAAGTGCCACTAGTTCCAGAAGTTTCTGGATTCTTTTGAAATACGGGGATGAAGCTTCTTGAAGCACCAGAGGAAGAAGGAACTTGAGCAGAAAAAAGGCTACTAGGTCCTTCCAATCCAGGTTCTGAGGCAAAAATTTTCCGTACATGACGAATAGGTCCTACTGATCCATAGCCACCGTCCATGACATCACCACTTGACTTCATCTGTGTTGAATAGAAAATAGGATTATATGGTCAATTCACATTCTATAACTTTCTCAGAAGAAATCTGCATGCCTGTGATTTCATACCATGACACTAGACTAAAGGCTGCATTTCCAATTTGCATGTCATGAAAATACAAGATGATGCCTAATGAGACCATCACAATAGAGTTTAAGGGCTACAAATATAGGTATGTTGCAATCTACAGGTGCATGATACATGAATACCGGGACTGGAATTCTAAAAAGATGAAGAATACAAGGTGCATTTATTTACAGGTATAGGTGAGTTCACATACCTATAAAACCAAACCAACAAAATAAGGAAGTTCTCTGATAATTAATATATTAAATATATAAAGTGACGACATGCTTAGACAAAAGTCGTATGCTTTACTTAATGCTCCCATGTTGCACTGAAATATCAAGGAAAAGGGATTCATCATGCCCCCTCACCTCCTTTCTCATAAGAAGTAATTCTAACTTTAGCTTTTCTGGCCTTCAGTTTTTACTATATAAAGTGTAAATTTCTATTTCTGAATTTTCTCAAGACGGAACTTGCCCTCCTGTATCCCCTTTACAGTTCAAGGATACGATCAATGCCACACTGCTCCTCCAGAGCACCAATTGTTGGGATTTGGCAAGAAGATGAAGCACCCCTGCTTCCAAAATGATAGCAAGTTGGACAACAGTCATGGATGTCTCGTTCAGGGTGATAGATCCACAATAACCAAACAAAACAATCCAGTAAATCCCACACAAAGTACGGTCTGGGGAGAGTAGGATGTGAGCAGACCTTACCTCCGCCCCAAGAAGTAAAAAGGTTGTTTCCATGAAGACCCCCGGCTTGTATAAAGGTTTTAGAGAAAATGATTTCATGAAAAAAAAAATGTTCTGAAAGTTTAATAGAAAATAAAGAGAAACAAAGTTAAGGAAGAAAAAGAGTTTAAGAGAGTTAAGAAACAAAAGCAACAAGAACAAATAACAACAATAATAAATATAATGGCGAGGATAAAAGCCACACGAGGGCATTAAATGCATAATAGAAGGTAAGGAACCACTAAACTACCGAAGAAAGTTGACCATCCTAGAGCTTTGCTAGCCCCCACCCACGCTCTACCTCTCCACCCCCCTTCCCCACCCCCAAAAACTACAAGTCCTTGCACACAATCTACTACCCTAGTCAAGTGTCTCCACAAACACCTATATAAGATAATGTCTTCCGAAATGCCTAAAGCCGCCATGTCCAGTCTCAATTGCTCTTCCTATGTTCTCTCAGGATGGGCATCCTCCTTACACCCTTGACCCCAAGTCCCTAATGGTCTCCACCCTCCTTATTGGTGCCGACATCTATCTCCTACGAACGTGCCGAACCCACCGCAGTCTCCCCCCTCAATTTTGTCTGCCATAGGCGCTGCTCCCAAATCTACTCGAAAAACCTTGTTCGGTAACACATAGTTTCATTATCCTTTGTTTTACTATATGTACCACCTCCGTCCCAACACTAAAGTGTACTTTTGATATTTTAATTATTTAGTGTACAGATTATGAAGATAATTTTTTTCTTTAATATGTTAGGTTTTGGGCTCATTAAATTTATGTGTGTATATGCACCTGCATATCCTTGACTTTCTACAACTGCTGAATCCCGTTAACCATGCATCCCAGATCCATATTTTTGCAACATAGCCTGGAATTCCGGCAATAATCAAAAACAAAATAAAGATGTGTTAAATTGAATCTTTTTGAGTAAGAAACTAGTGATGATGATCTACCATTTACATTGCGTTCTCGAGTTTGGAGAGAAGAGAAGAAAGAACTGAAAAGAAAAGAAATGGTAATAAATTTTTCTTTGTTCTCAAATTGAAAAGACCAGAAAAGTAACCCCACATATTTTTACTGTTTCGTCTTCTCGAATTAGAAAGGAAGGGAATGAAAGCTCACAATTTTACAAATATATCCTTAATGTGCAAAATAGATTAGTTTAAGTCAGCGGTAGTCTGTTCATTGAAAAAAAAGATTATAAAACCTTTGCTTTATAAGAGTTTAGTCTGGTTTTTAACTTTACCTCTAAGCAAAGCTGTTAAAGACTCAAGACCCACTTAGGCGCAAAAGGGTCCCGGGGCCAAGACGCGAGGAGCAGACGTGAGGGGCAGGCCTTCAGGAATGCGAGGTGCATCTTATCAAAATATATATACACACACAGTTACACACAACTCAAATATGCAGCAGTACAACTGTACAAGACTCCAATGCAACAACCAGCAGTACTTCGATAGAGCCAGAAGAGAGAAGGGTTTAAAGCGTGAGCCACGAGGCAGAAGTTTAAGGTCTGGGTATTTATAGAGGACCGGGTACTTAATATTAGGGTTTGACTTGTATCGTCTATTTGATAACTCTTTTTTTTTAAGTCTAAGAGATGAGAAGATGAGAAAACTTATATAATATTAGGGTTTGACTAGGTATTAATAACTCTATGAGGCATGCCTAGGCCCATTAGGAACCTCAGCCAAGGAGAAACACCTTAGTGAGCCTTGTAAACACACCTAGCCTCGACTTTCAAGACCTTGAGACTTATGAGCCTCACAGCCAGGGCACACCTCAAGCGTGCTTTTAACAACTATGCCTCTAAGTTCAGCAACTGCTTATTTGTACATAAAGATAGTGTCACATAGGATTCTCTAACAGCCCTCAGATGGTTCCGCTATCTCAAGGGTTATTCACTTGCATTTGCAAGTCTTTGGCTTTGTACTGCTTTTCTGAATTTCAAGAGGAAAGCTTATAACCAGATTTATGTGGTTTTCTATGCCTTGAACTCGATAAAAGTAATATGACACCTACAGAACAGCTCAACTACATGGCCATGTCCTCAATGCCTAAAAGGTATTGCTTCCTCCGAGTATCGGGTATATTGCTATGATCGTACATAAACAAATACATTATCAGAAATCGTATCATTTTTCTAACTTCGAAAAACTTTGAAACTGAAACCTTAGTGTCACGGACATACTTTTCCCACGCATCATACAGCCTTAGCATCAGCAAAATAATGCTTGCTTGCGATAAGAGGGCCTCAATAAGAGAACACTAGATTAACATGGAAAATACTCAAAAGAGTTGGGAGGAACACTCGTATTCTATTAGTTTGTCCCGGTACTTGTTTATTACTTTCTCACAGAATTATTACAAGAGAAGAACCCTCTCCCCTTAAGGAAAGATCTGGACATAAAAACTTCTAGGTTACTACATGGCTTCCTAAGAGTCCTAAAATACAATTTCAGTGGCTTCTAGGATGTTCCCGACTCTTCTGATGCGCCAAGTTGGCGTAAGTGTGGCAACTGCATCCCGTAGTTATTATTCAAAACACTAGAGCTGTGACAGTAGGCAACAATAACTAATATCAAGGGAGACAAATATGTGATGCAGCTAGCACAGGAAGTACCTGCCGATAATTAGGAGTCCTCGACTGTTGGAATGTGGTGAGAGAAATATTAGAAGACCTGCTATCAGCTTGTAACTGGTTCAGCTGAAAATAAGATAGACAAATTGAATATTACAAAGTCCAATCAATCTTTGTTTAAGGTCAGAAAAACTATGCACATACTTTTGGCTTGGTCCTTGAATTGACCGTTCTTGAATATGGTGTTCGTGGAAAATTATGAAGCCCATATTTGCCTCTTTGACTCTGTGGGGTTAGAAAACCACGCTGATCTTGTACCATGGCACCCGGCCAACAAGTAGATGACTTCGATGAAGGCGTGAGGATGTGTGGCTTTGAAGAAAACAGATTGCTAGGTTGCTGTTCTCTTCCATCTTTCAATATGGTACTGTAAGTGTTAAAGCCTAGTTCTGGTGTTCGACTTCCCATATAAGCTCTAGCAATATCTATTGGTGAAGCAGCAACTTCCTCTCGCATCTGCAATAAAGAAATATTACAATAACAATACAGCAAATGCCAACGGAAGCATTAATTTCACCTTCTTCACCAGTGCCACCATTGTCTATATTTCTTTCAAACATATTATAGTAAATAAATTAATATAGAACCAAAAAGAACCAAAAAGACGACCATGAACCCAACACAAGACCACAGGGTTAAATCAATATGAATGTCATTTATTTGAACAACTTCCACAGACATGGGTATGTGTGCTTGTATAATCGGGGCTACACAAAAAACATTCTAGAGATCTTCATGTTCTATAATAAATGAGATGACTCTCTTTAAAATATCCAGATGGTATACAGCCCACAAACGAGATTTTGAGCTTCACCAAAAAGCAAATAACAAAGTTAGTAATTACCTAACAGTAAGTCATGTGGGCTAACATTTATGTACAGCTTGAAGTATGATTTATAATTTAAACATAAAAGTCGGCTAAAGAAAATTTCGGCTTTTTTTGTATCTTGCACATCCAAACAGGCCTTAAAAAAGAAAGCAGACGAAATAAGTTTATGTGCACAACCTGAGGTCAGCTCCAGCCAGGATCCACATAAAAGAGAAATGAATACAAGAATTAAAAACACAGAAATTTCATCGAAGTAAACATCCACACCTATTTTGATTGTTATAAAATGCAAAAAACTGTTGAGTTGGACCTTTTAATTTTTAACTTCTGCTGCATTCTTTTCATGTTTCCATCTATTCGACACAAATAAACAGCTACTATTTGTTCATGATATCTTGTAGAAAATGGAATTAATCCATAAGTAGAAAGCAATCTGGAATGCATCTACTGATTTCCTAATGAATCAGCAAATTCTACAACAAGGTAACATAAATATCTAACGTCCTGCAAAGATGGTCAGGGAGGTGCATATCAAGCTAAAGCTAGATTCAGAATCTTTTGCATAAGCTGATATGCGGGACAAGTCATTGCAGACACCCACAGAAAACAGTCGATAGTAACATTTGTGCTCACATTTGATTGCAAACGACGCATTGGGGTTTCTAAAACAGCCCTCTCCAAATCATATTGCTTCCCCATGGTTAATGTAGATGGGATTTCAACGTCCAGCACGCCCTCTTTAGCTTGCCCCTGAGAAATCACATCTGGTGTGTTCTTCTCCTCCTCAGCACTAGAAACATCAACCAATCTAGAATTTAATATCTCCATCAGACGATTGCTTTCAGCCCTGCATTATAATTCAACATTTAGAAAATAGAGTTCATACAAAAAAATCCCCTGGAGTTGAAAACTCTGTACAGAAAGTCAAAACACTTTACCGAGAAAATTGTTTCCCTTTCAGCATGTTCTCAATTTTATCTAAACCAATATCACCAATTGAGTTCTTCGATTTATCTAGTCTGGCATCATTATGTTCTAAGCTCCCCTTCAGTTTAGTCATTTCATTACTAGGACCTGCATCTCCACTCCACCTGGATACTCCAACCTGCATAAACATAATGGCATACACTTTGTGTTCAGAGGTAACGGCAAAACAACTACCCAGGCATATAAACATACAACCATCATCCAATAAAAAATTTAACCCAAAGTGCTTGACTTCCTTCCAAGAAACACCTTTTAAGCATTTACCTTCTAATATGTATCAACATGGTGAAACATAGAAATGAATAAAGTCATACAGTAAATAAATCAGCAAAGATGGTGAAAACTATGTTAATGTCATATATATGTAAGCTTCTGTCAAGAGTCAGGACAGAGAAGTATATGAAACATAACACAGTCATAAACACCATTATACAAACAACTCTTACAAATGAGTACAGTCATAAAAAAATCAATTACAAAAGTGTTATACTAGCTTCAAGTAGGAAGATCAGAACACAACACTCAATGTGGAGTTGCAGCTACAGAGAGAGAGAGAGAGAGAGTACACAATACAGCAAAAAATTGTAACAATAGAATTACAAATCCCTTCTAACAAGTGAACTAACTGCTCAAATTCTATTCACCCATGCTTCCTTAACTCTAGGGTTTGTAACTTCCTTATCATCCTTTATCCACAAGTTTTTGATCTCCTACATGGTACAGAGATAGTGAATAGGAAGAACGCCATCTGAGTGAGTCCTGATTATGTGGATTTGTTCTATTGGCAAATGGCAAGGCATAATACACATCAATCAGAGTGAGGATCCACCCAAATGGGTATGGATGGGAGCTAAGGCTTCCTAAAACATACACAATTGCACAACCAAATGGAAGAGGGCCAATTTGTTACAACTATACAGAGCTTTTTAAAAGTAATGCTACAATCTTTTGCGGATGTGAGGGTTGCGACCTGGTGAAACAAGTGCATATGCTTTCAATCAAAATGGTAAATATAGAATTGGCGCATCATGTATGACACAATTGTAGAAATCTCAACAGCTAAGGTTCGGGCTTCCGACACATGGCCTGTTAAGCAGGACCTGCCCTTCCAAAAATTCCTCACCTCAAAGATGGCTACAATTAAACATATGTTTCCATCTGATAACCAGTATCTTGTATGGCCCTAATTTATTGCACATATGAATCCTCAACAATGTAAAGCCAAGTCACACATTGTGCAACTAAAATCTAACGAGTGCTTACAGGGCAAGAAAATATAAGCATTTTCCCAGGAAGGATCCAGTTCCCCTTGAAAGTTCTAGGGATGTCTCGTATCTCACAAAGTTTTTCAAGACTCTCTTGTACCTTTATCCTTCTAAAATCTAGCGAGTGCTTACAGGGCAAGACTCTCTTGTACCTTTTTCAAGACTCTCTTGAATGTGGCCTTCGGTTTTGTAGAAGAAGCTAGAACATTAATGGGACTAGAATGTCTCTTGAGGAGGTGAAGCCTACTATATAAGGAGAGAGCTCCTCATTTCTAGACCATCCAGGAAGAGACGCAAGGCTTGTTCAACAGCATGAAATTTTAAAATAAAGCAAAAGAAAAGCCGTCTTGAGCATCCACCCAAACTCCTGTTCTAGAAACAAATATTCTGACATTTAAACTTTTTTGTCATTAAACTATATAGTCCAAACAACCAAATCATGTATATATATATATATATATATGAAATTAGTACTAGCATTCTTAATTCGCTTTGAAAAAAATATTCAAACATCAGTCAAGAAAAATGATAAACCCTGCGATTTAATAGGAATTGGATGAAAACTGTAGAGGGTGGGTAGCGAACAAGGAAAAATGATAAACTAACAGAAATAACTCACAATGTTGCTACTACCTTTTGTGCCATAAGAATTGCAGTATTTCCTTTTTGAGATGACCCATAGGAAATGCAGCATTTCCTCTTTTGGAAAATATATCAAGTTACAAATATCTCCTTTAGTTAGTAATCCATTTTGATCCACAAGATTTACTGTAATTTGTGTTCAGAAGATATTTTGCAAGAGCGAGGCAACCTCTTCTATCAATTGTGTCTATGGTCAAATGTTACAGTTATTGGACAGAGGTTGCATATACAAGGATAAGAGTGCAGAAATATCCAAGAAAGCACATATGACAAGGTCCAGTGGAATATCCGTAAATCTTTAGCTCCACTGATTTAGAAAAATATTGTAAATTTGGGGACCTTAACACATTCCATTATCTAGGACCAGGGGTGCTAATTCAGGGACATCGGATTGATTACATTTTAGAAAATTAGAAATGCTCCACATGAATGTTTACATTGTACATGTCCCAACACAAACAGAAAACAGAACTTGCCTCCAAAGTATGTTTAGCATCACTGCATGCATTTACTGTTGCATCTATACCTTGAATATCTGTCCAATAAAAAAACAGCATGTATTAGCAAATGGCAAATAAAAATAATAATTAAGAGGAATCAAGAACATGCATCACAGTACTTTTCAGTTGATATATTAACGGTAAATGGCTCATGCACAATGACCCAGTCTTCGGTTTTCAAAATATACCCAGTCCAATTCAGTTGCATTGCCAAGACGTTCTTAAGAAGTTGAATAGAAGAGTTTTTCAATATTCGTAAACGAAGAGGCTACCACCCTCACAGAGTTACTTTCATCAGAGGCCATCCCATTCTTTATTCCTGTGTTCTTTAAAACTTGCATCTCAGTAAGCAAAAAATTTGATAGATGTACCTTCTTGGTTCTTCTAAAATCTCAAAGGATTTTCAACTTCATTGTATCCATATAACCCAAGTAAAAAAATGATCCCTGTATTTATATATGCCCCTACAAGTTCTACAAATCGTATTCTTCAAAGTTAATTGAACTTTTACTCGACTATCCAAACTTAAACTTATCCTCCATGATAGAAAACCTAACATGAATTCCTTTTTATATTCATCAATAATTCAAGATAAAGACCCCTTTTCTTCTCTAGTTCTACAGCATATGTCTCGGCCAAGTTTTTCCTTTACCTCCATGGAACGATAGCTTCACTCTTCAGATGCTATAATTTGTTTACACCATATAATGACCAAACCAACTCAGGTATTCCTCTCATATTATTTGCTTTGATAATAACCAAAGACTATCTGGTGTTTCGCTTTAATGGTATGCAACCTACCCCTAAGTGATAAGTTGGTAATCAGCTAAAACTCATGGGTTTGAAGCTCCTTTTCCTTGGCTGACTAAGAAAAAACAAAAGCTAGCAACTTTCGTTATCTTATAGATGACCCAATATCTAGCCAATTCATGTTTCTAGTTTCACCCATGCATACTTCTTATCACTCAATTCAAAACCCTAAACATGTTAATGTCAATTGCACTCTAAGCAAAACTGTTGGATTGACCCTATGAAATGAAGTCCCATTAAGTTAGTAGCAACCAAGAAGAGTTTTTCCCAATGGAACCTCTAGAACCCTAAGGTCATGAGTTTTGAGTCTCTTTGAAGACATGAGTGTGAGTTTCTTTGTCTGTCTGTCCAAAGGAAGTTGATTAACTACATCTACATTTGTTAATCCTCCAAAAGGTTCACTATGTTACCCAACCACAAACAAGTTAGCATCCCTCCTAATATCCGCACACCAGCCATAGTAGAGTATGAAATCAATCATTCATTAGGTGTTCATACTTCTTACGCAGTTGTGCTCCACGTATAACTAGAATTTGCTTATAATTACCCTTCATTAAGAAGCTTGTATCACATTATGGTGCTGATAACCTCATCTATTGAGCAATGTAATCCAAGAATATATTAAGCATGCCGACCTTGTTCTGTGTATGCAGGCTGATGCATCGATTGCTTAAACTATCTCGATAAAAACTGAACAGTTCGTCACTGTCGTTGTTACACATCAAAATTCTGGCTTCAATTTCCAACTACTACCTTCAGATTCTGAATTCATTCACAATTCTATGTATCTCTTACTGTTATAATATCGATAACTAGTAAATGAGAATCCTTCACTTGTCTGTCTCGTAGTAGCTTGTTTCTTGTATGATCTTCAATTTTCGTTTTTTCAACCAGCTTTCTATCTTCCCTTAATGTATGACTTCATACGTTCCTTTTTTAACATATTTCATATGGTCCTCAATCCACCCTTTGTTTACCATAAATTAACAAAATTATGATCCTCCATTTCCCTGCCAATATCTTCTTGACACTAAGACAACCACGAACAAGCTGATAAAGAGCAAATAGATTTTTTTTCCTCACGCAAACGACATGTACCAGTTACATATGATCAATTTGGTTAAATCACAAAATTGAGAGTATTCTCTGATGCTACAACTCATAAAACAAATTGTTTGATACAAAATAAGTAAAGAATTTAAATTCGTACACCGGTTGCTATCTATGGATTTCATTAAAAGAACTTGCTATAAAATCATGCCACCTCATTATAACTTACAAACATATTCATCTTAATACACAAAAAAATGTATTGTATTCATCAAGTAGAAACAAAACCCTAATTCACTACAAAAGCTAAACCTTTTCATTAATGTGTGTGCGTGGCATCGTCTCTGTGACTCACCTTGATCACCAGACGGATCGTCCTCATATTCGTCAGCGGAGGAAGAATCTGATTTGGAGAAAAACGATGGCAGTATTCTGGTGGCACCACCAATAATGAGACGGCGAGCAGGATTAACAACAAGCTTCGATAACCAACCACCGCCACCGTCTTGAGACTCGTCCGATTTATTATTACCAGTAGTCAGTGATGGACGGTCGTAAGGAGTAGACGGCCGCCTCCGTGAAACAGGAGGCTTCCTGAATTTCCCGCCGGCGCCTCCAGAGTACGGCGGCGCCGAAGACGACGGCTTAGCGCTCTCCATATCTCTCCCTACGTGTTCTTTTTTCATCTATTTTAATTGGTTTGGGAACCCTTTTACTTCACTGTCACGTGCCAACGTCCTCCCATTTTGGGTTGCTCCGGAGCTCCGTTACGTTGATTACGTGGGTCTGATTTTATATTTGGTTTGTTAATTTTTGGATATTTTTTAAGGGATATTTTAGAGTCAATTACGTTTCTAGTCCCTGTATTTGTTGAAAATTTCTATTTTCGTCCTTATAATTTTTTCATTATTATTGTTTATAATTCATTACCTTTTTTGTCCTTATGATTTAAAATTTATTATTTTTTCGTCCCTACACTTCAAATTCATTTTTATTTTAGTTACTCATACTTAAAAGTAATGTTTTGGCCTCAAGAATGAAAATAGAAATGAATTTCAAATCATAGAGACGAAAATCAAAATTTCAAAACCATAGGGATGAAATCCGCAATTTTATCAAACCACAAGGACAAAAGAATTTAATTTAGCTCTTTTATGTAGAGTTTTTAATAAAGAGTAAGCTAAAATTTTGGTTCATATGGTTTACACTAATTTTTGAAAGTGGTCTCTAGACTTCAATAACCACGATTATCGTCTCTATTGTTTATATTTTGGTTTGAAAATAGTTTCTGGTCACTAACTCCGTAAGATTAGTCCGTTAAATAAGGGGAATTTTAGTTTTTTTATATTTTTTTATTATTTTCTTTTTTTTTGCCTTAATTCAAATCAAAGAAGAAGGGCCAAAACTATAAATTCTTTATTCTTTTCTCCCTCTTTATTGTACACAGATGAACATATGATATATGTATATATGATCTCTCTCTCACACACGCGCATATATATATATATATATATAATCACACATATAAGTGGGAATTCAAACGAGAACCCTTCTATTTTTACGAAAATATGAGAACAGTTATGGACTTCTAAGTTTTTCAATCAATAATTTATATTATAATTGAAGAGTAATGAGGCTAGTATCCACTCTGCCCCCTCAACGAAGAAGTAGTAAGGCCCATTCCTGTGTATGGGACTTTATTTAATATTTAGTTTAGATTTTGACTTTTATGTTATTTTAATTATTCCATGGTTTTCGATTGGATCTGATTACGTATAATCTCGCGTCTCTATCATTTATTGTATCTGCATATTTGATCATAGTGTGATATTCTCAGTTTCAAATTCTTTTTTCGACCGAGATGGAATAGTCCAATCGATCAAAACAAAGAGGATATCATCGATCCATATTATGAATGTGGTTTAACTAGATTGTGATAATCATGTAATAAACAAACAATCTGATAAATATATACATTGTCGATTACACAATTTTGCCTTGATGTTGTTGATAACTGAACAAACTTATGTAAATCGATCAAAACAAAAGGGTTATCATTGATTCACATTGTGAATGCGGCATAACTAGACTGTGATAATTATGTAATAGACAAACAATCTGGTAAATACATGCATTATCTATTACTCAAGTTTACCCTATTATTGTTGATAATTAAGCAAACTGTGTTAATCGATCAAACGGTGTTAATCAAACACATATGGTATCTATTTCTGGAGTTGATAATTGCCATGTTCGATTTCTCGACCTTGCCTCAACTGTGATAAGTATGTGATAGATATTCGATCATCAAATTAATTGATTACAGACAATTACCAGCCCCAATCGAAGTGTTATAATATGTGATTTATGTTCCATATGTGTTAAATATGTGATTAAGCTGTGTTATCATCGATTTACACTATGTGAAAGTGAGCTAACTAGACTCTGATAATCATGTGATAAACAAATACTCTAATAAATACATGCATCGGCCATTACTCATTTTGCCCTATTGTTGTTGATAATTGAACAAACAGGTGTTACTCGATCAAACGGTATTAATCAAACACATACAGTATCGATTTCTAGAGTTGTGATAATTGCTTTATTCGGTTTACCGACCTTGCCCTTAACTGTGATAAGTATGTGATAGGCATTTAATGATCATCACTCCTCGATGATCGGAATTATCTTCATCGTGTTATTTGAATTTTGGCAATACCAATTTTGCATTTGACCCTTTCACGTCTTTAGTATTTTTGAGAACTTTTTAATATTAATTTAAATTTAAAAAAATTTCTTAACTTCTCTTGAAATGTGATTTAAAACACAATCTTGGGTTTAGAAACTGTTCTCGTGTTTTCACAAATCACATGGGTTCTCGTTTGAAAACCCCCCCACACCCACCCCACATACACACACACACACACACACATATATATATATATATATATTTATAATATCATACACACATCTATGATTCTTTGAATATATATATATATATTAATATAATTTATATTATCATAATATATATTATATTGATATATACACATTATACACACTTCGTAAAACAACCAAAATATATTGTGATACACTTTGTATGACGACAAAAATACATTGTGATACATATTATGATACCACTGTGTTACCACTGTATTACATTGACGTTACATCTCCAAAGAGATATAGGTTACATCCAAAAAGCTTACATCTTCTGCGTTACATCTCCGACGATATATGGGTTACATTTCCGGCAAGATCTAGGTTACGTCCCCGATCTGAATGAGATATGAACAAAACCCAAAAACCGAAATCGATCTAAGTGTGCAGAAACCAGATCTCTTGAGATACGAAAAATCGAAACCGATATGGGTTGTTCAACATGGGGGAGTCGAGCGGTGAATGTGAGAGTTGAGGAGATGATGGTTGGTGGTTGGAGACGGGTAGAGAATAAGAAGCAGCGGTGGCCAGAGATGGGCGAAGAAGGAGACATCGGACGGTGTTGGGCAAAGGGATCGGTGTAAAGTGTCGCACCGGATAGGAATCACGTTTTGGTCGGTGATGGGGAAAGAGGGTCACATGTGGTGATCTCGTCCATTCTAATATATATCTATATATATGTATATATATATATATATATATATGTAGGGTTGGGTTCACGTGAGACCAATGGTTTTTCGTGAGATCCGTAAGACCAATTTATGTTCATTGATCAACTTTATAAGCTAATGATCTAATGGTCTAAAATTGCACGGTGATAATTATGTGATTATTGAGAAGTGTCGTGGCATTTATGAATATTCAGATTGTCATATTATGGATCTAATTAAAGGGTTGAGAATTGGTCTTACGTATCTCACAAAAAACCCTTGGTCTCATATGATCCCAAGTCTATATATGTATGTATATGTGTGTGTATATATATATATATGTGTGTGTGTGTGTGTGTGTGTGTGTGTGTGTGTGTGACAGTTTACATACACACACACATCTATTTCAAAATTAGAATAATAATCAAATTAAAGTAAACTGAATATTCAACACAATTTACTAATTTACCCTTTTACTTATTTTAGGAAATCATAATAACTATAGTGAATGATTGGTTCATGTTGGATCTTACGGTTATCACAAACTAAACAGTTCTCATTTGATTAGGCCCCAATATACATACATATACATACACACATATATATATATATATAGAGAGAGAGAGAGAGAGAGATGAACGATCAAATGCAAACCACCCAATTTGCACAAACCGTGCAAACCACCTTCATCCGTCGATTTCATTGTTTAATCTTATGGCCCAGGTCGAGGAGGTACTTGTGATATTTTGGCTTGGGATGCATTTTATTTGGCAGTTTTTTGGATTGAATTTTTTTCATGAAATTGTTTAATCTTGTGAAATTGTTTCATATAGTATTTTTTTTTATAAAGTTGTTTCATATATGATTATGAAATTGTTTCATATAATACTTAATGAAATTTTAATGAAACTGTTTCATGTATTTATCTAAAATTAAAATAATGAAGATGATAATATCCATGATTAACACACTCCACAATAAAAATGATTAATCAACCTCTCATAATTACAAAAAAATGAACAAAATGAAAAATTATGATTGATTGAATGAGGTTTGTATGGTTTATACAAATAACGTGGTTTGTAAAGTAAATCTCCTATATGTATATATACTAATTGTGTACCCGCGCAATGCGGCGGGAGCCATGAATTTTAACGATTTTGAAGTTCCACTGGTTTTATAAGATAAGATTTAACGATGATATAAGTTACACTTGGTCTTTACATATTAATACAATTTGAATAAATAAAAGTTATGGTTCCAATTACAGATTATCGATAAAAAAAATTGTATGACAATTTAAAATTCAATACATTTAAAATCCAACATATTTAAACGACTCCACAAATGTATTCGATTTACACCAAGAGCAAAGAACCAAAAAACTTGAGTTTTAAGAWAAACACTCAAAACCAATAAAGAAAACTACAAATTTGACAGATCATAAGCCATGAAACGACAAAAAAAGATGGGTTTTAGAATGAAATTTCAACTGTTTACCCTATTTCTTGTTCAGAAACTCAGATTAAGGTTGAATTAATACATATATATATATATATATATTTCAAAAAAACCCAAGAACATATTAAATCAAAACATATTATACAGTGCAATTTAGACAGCCTAACCCCAAAATATATAGTATATATATATAAACAAATAACTATAAAAGTATAAATCGTAAATATTAAAAATATTTTTTTACGGTATATATAATATATAATAATATAATTAAATAAAAAACTATTCAATATTGGACTCATTTCTAAGGTATTARCGAGACGATTATAATGGTGTAACTTGTTAAAATAAAAATGTATTTTTTAAACATGTTTTAATTGATATACGATTATGTATGTTAATTTGATAAAGGTTTAAAATGAAACATTTAAAAGTAAAGAACATAAAGTAAATTAATTAATTAATCATAGACGTATAAAGTGTAAATTTAAAATTATAATTTGAAAAAAATCGGTTGTGAGATGGTGAGTGTATGTGAGGGGGTGAGTGTATGTGAGGAGAGGAGGGGGTGAAAAAGAAAAAAAATGAGTATAAAGGGTATTTTGGTCA